TAGACCGTACTCCTTATAGCATTATCATCACCATCCAGCCAAAGCAGTTTGTCAGTTTGTTTTTTCAGTTGACCAAATGTCTCCTTTTTTGCCTACACAGACAACAAATGTTTTAGGTAAACATGTAGATTATGTATTAAAGCCCTTCATCATTCACTTCTGTGTTGCATACCATCCAAGTGCAGACAAACTAAAGCTCAATTCAGCTCAAGAGGATTCACTTTGACAACCCCCTCCCCTCAGTACATCCAGACCCACTGAAGAGCAACTGTGCAATTATATCTCTAGCAAGCTTGACACTTAAAAAAGTACAGGCTTCTGCTTCAACCGTATTCTGTAGCAGGAAGCTTCCACAAGAGCATACTGGATTCCAAGGTTTTCATGTCAATCTTTTCTTGCCTTCCTACCTGTGGCGACACCAATGGCACACTTTCATGCCTCTCTACACATTAAGATCTCCCAATCACCCCATACTCCCATTACATTATCACACAGGCAACTGCAATTCCTTTTCTACATAATAGTTGTAGTTATAGGAAAAATTTTCTTTTTTTCAGATACCACATCCATGTCTTTAAAGATTTATCAGACCATTAAAACACTGAAAAACACTTTATAATACTACTACTCAGAGACAGGATTTTGCAGCTCTGGAAACTTATAACAGCAGCAACTATTTTATCTTTCATTACTACAAACGCAAGTTGCACAGTACAAATACTACTTCTTTGTTACAGAGTAATCTACCAGAAATGTATTTGATTGGCCACAACAGCAACTTACAGGATCGCATTACAGTCCTGCAAAACACAAGCCAGGTTGAACCTTTTTTTGTGACAACCCTGCAAATTTGCCAGAGCCCTCTGCATTGGCACCACTGCATTTTTTACTGCAGGGCTAAACGTTGGTCTTAACACACTTTGACCAGCAACCCACCGTGTTTGTTGACAGCTCTGCCTACATGAGAGTTAGATGTCATCCAAATAATGTATCCAGGTACAGACCCCTTGTTCATACCAGGGAAAATTGGGTCTTAGACAAACTATCAGGTCAAGGTGTTCCCTCAAACCCCCATTGCAAGATCTTCTCTTTGAAATTCCTTCTGGATTGTTTTTACTGACATACTAATAATCTCAGATACAAAACCACAAAACCCATGTGAATTCTGATCTGTTTTATATAACAGACTCAGTGCCCTTACATTCACAATTACAAAAATGTCCTTCTAGATCTAATAAGTTTGATCATCTTATTTGATGTAACAAGGCTCCGTGGAGTTTTGGAGTCTGGACTTCTTTGGCTCTCTTAAAGCTGAAAACGTCAACTCCTCTCAGTCACCATCCACCTGCTTAGCTCTCTGTAATGCACTACAGAACTTTTAGGGTACCGTCACACATATGTGAATGCAGGTGAGTGGCAGGATTTGCCGGTTTGTAGTTTGTTTAAGGGGTCAACCACACACGTGTATTTACTATTGGTTGGAGTCCACGCAAAGCTGAAATGCAAATCTGCTTTGCTATGGGAAGCAAAGTTTTTGTTTGTGCATTCGCTTGCATAGAATGGAAGTGAACAGGAGGCCAATATTTGCCAATGTTGATTTCACATATGTGTGACTGTGCCCATATCCTTGTATTTTATCTTAACTAGTTTACACTTTCATACTGTCAACTACAGGGTTTTACACAAATTCATGTAGCAAAGTAGTGATGTAGTGAAGTAGAGTGTCACCAGAATTCTTTGGCAAAGAAGTGCTACAGCAATGGCCCAGGTAACACCAACAATGTATATATATATGAGATAAATATGATTTTAGATGAAATTAATTTACGTATTTTTGTGTTGGATCAATGAACAAAAACATTTTCTGGTTAGGGTGGTTCTTTAGGACTCTATTTGAAAGCTGAGTCAATATGTAATTATTTCTTTTGTGAAGCAAACTAGATTAGTTTTTGGTCCACATCAGTCTAATGGATAAAGACAGCTTGTTTGGACAAAATGGTCGGAGTTATGCTTTAAGAAACCACATAGCTGCTCATATAGAGAGAGCTGAAAGAGAGAGTTTGTGCCGTGGAATGATTGCAAAGTTTTCTTGGCCACTTGAGTAAGATGCTGCTTATTCCTTTCTCATCTCCTCCTCCCCCACCATCCTTCCAACGGTAGCTTGTTTAGGGCCCCATCCAACACAGTTACAACGGTAACAGTACACAAACAAGTGGGCGGGGCCAAAAGGTTTGGGAATGGTAAGTGTGGGCGAGCAAGCCATTCTGCCAGCATTTCCTCTCTCTCTTCCTCTCTCTTTGGAACGTTTGCAACGCTAAAACTCACGTGACATTTCTTTTTGAATTGTGGTTGAGTTGATGCTGTATATTGACATACATATTTTCTTGCGTGTCGGCGTGCGTGTCCATTCACTAAGTGTTCTCCTGGAGCTGCGTCTGCGAGCAATACTGACTGAGATATGAATTCGTTTGCACATCTATCTGAGATTGTTGGAAACCCATTTATTGATTTATTTTATTTTACTTTGGAGGAAAATGCACCCTTTTTTAATTTACCCTGTTAGCTGTTGTTTGAATTTGGAATGATTTGATTGGTTGATTGACTGACTTGGTTGGTTTCTTTGAGTACATCTATTTTATTTGATCTTAATATTTATTCTTGCAATGAATCCGAGAGGCTGTTGTCTGAGTGTGAATGCTTTGTGTTGCTTTCGTCACAACAGTTTATTCTCACGTTTTAAGGTTGACTTGATGTTGCATAATGCTCCCAACATATTCTCTTCTACCCTTCCCCAATGACATTTTCTTTGTGTTTTTTCCCCCCTCCTCCTCCCACAGCATGCATCTATACATTTACAAAACATAATTTTGCCAAGTGCATCTGTTGTTTCTTTACTTTGTCTGTATGTTATTGAAATGTCACTATAATTGGGGAGAGCATGCTGGAAAACGTCAGATAGAAAATATGCAAATGAGAAAGAAATCTGATTTGTTTTGGATGTTTTTAAGTGTTTCTGAATGCAATTTCGAAAACACACAAATGACATGGGTGTTTGCCATGATACAGTGTACTGCTTTCTTTGTTTATTACATTAGAAAACAATGCATGCAGATTTACTCTAAAAAATATAGAATTTACATATAAGTGTCATGACTCATGGAATTCTCTTTATCTGCTGTAGGTCAACAATGCAACAGCCCGAGTAATGACAAATAAGAAGACTGTCAACCCATATGCAAATGGTAAGGCCAATGTAATTTTTCTTGTTTTATTGTTTTGCAAGATTGAATCAATCAGCCCAGATTTAATGCAGCTGACCCTTCAATGTCAGTGAAAACCAATATCTAGAAAGTTATCTAAATTAATTACAAATCTAAATCACAACATACATTTGCATAAGGATTCACTCCCTATAACACACATGGAAAATCGTTGGTGCAGCCAATGGATTTTAGAAGTTACATAATTAGTGAAATGGAGATCATCTGTATGTAGTGTAGTTTGTTCATTATGGTATAAGCAGACCTGTATCTGAATACAGTTGTACCTGGAGGGCAAAACATTTAGTAAATCTTCATGGTGAAAAAAAACACCATAAAAACAGTGGAACATCCCAAGCAACTCCCATGGATACAAGAACATGTCCAAGTGACTCTTAAATCATTAATCATTAATGTAAAGAGAAACATAAAATCTGCCAAGAACAAGCCATCCCCAAAAACTGAGCGATCGAGCAATAAGGAGACTGAGTCAGAACACCGAGGCCCAAACTCATTAAATACTGACACTCGTGTTATTGTGGACACGCAGGGCTCCACGATCACACTGGTAGGAAGTCAGACACAGAAATGCCATAAAGAATCCGGTCAATTTTCAAAATAAAATCCTGCGTGCAGACTCCGGATCGAATTTCATGCTACATAAACATAATGTTGCCTAGACTAGAGGCACCCGTCACACGCCTGAGATGGCACATGCTGCTGAGGCGGCCTATGTGAACAGGGTGTTACAGATATGTTTGATATAAACATTTTATGTTGCGATTAACAATTTTACAGATATATTCCATTTAACTGTTTTGTTGTTGTGTCTTGAAAATTTAATCTAGGCAAACAAATTAGCAATTGAAAATTAGCTGAATGTTAATTTGTGTCAGACAATATAAAATGTCTTGGTAAGCGAACATTTTAAGGAGGTATAAATTCAAAGCTAAAAGGTTCATTCTTTTGGTAAAACATTCATGTGACCTTTGTTCTAAATATCTAAAAACATTCCTAGGGAGATGGAAGTTTATTCAGAACATGCAGGGCGTGTGAACTAATGCAATAAAACACTGTTCCTGTCTGTGTCTTTCTCCTGCTGTCAATCTTGTTTCAGGCTGGAAGTTAAATCCAGTGGTCAGCGCTGTCTACAGCCCAGAATTCTATGCAGGTAGGAGGACATGCCCTTCTCCATCTGTCACCATCTCCTTTGTCATTATCTTCCTCCTCCTCATTCATTTTGTTCTTTAGTTTCTTCGACATCTTCATTTTCTCTTTCTCCTCACTCCTCCCTCCTTCAATTTAACCTTCCTCACCTCTCCCTGTCCCTCTTTCTTCCAAGCAACATGCAACCAGGCAAAGTCTGTTTATAGCCCAAGAACTATGCTGAGTCGCACAAATGGGACAACAGACTGTCATTTCTGCTGCAAAACAAACGTTCTGCCACCCACAAGCCTTCTTCAATCATGGCCATCCCGGTATTCACCTCCCCCATGTCATTATCCATGGCCATTAAGGTGAAAAATACCTGGATTTAGTGATAAGAGACAGATAAAAGAGTGTTGCAGGGGATAGGCGGAGTGAACGAATGCAAAGGACAAGAGAGAAGGAAATCTAATTGTCCATTTCTGCAAGGACATTAAAAGGTATGAAATATATTTTGTAAATTAAAATCAATATTTTCAATTTCTCCAGACAGACGTTTGCCTAATTCACCCCCACGTTCTTTTAATTACAAAATGACTTTGTATTGATTTACCTTTGTTTCACCTTTCAAGTACCCAAAATGCCATTGGGTATGTGTGTGTAAGTGTTTTACGTGTACATATGCAAGGAGTGTACAAGCTTTTCAGGCCTGTTTTGCATTAGTATGTAATTTGGCCTACTGTGTTATTAACAGGTTAGGACTGCAGCCATTCAGGATAGAGGTTGGGTTTTCATGGTTAATTAGTTCAGATGTTTAGATAGCAGTGCAGATTAAGATTCACAAGGCAGAGTTGAAGATTCACCAAATTAGCAGACTTCTTTGTCTATACTTCCTCTTTGTCTGTAAAATCTCTTAAAAAATATCATATAGCCACATTTAGTTTGCTTGCTTTTATAAACTGTATTTCTCAAAATGTTGTTCTTCTCTGGTTGTAGAAATGCAGAAGCATTCTAGAGGAATGGGTCTTGAGATAGTGGCCACGCTTAGTGATAATACCACCAATTCTCAAACCAGTCTCCTAGAAACGATTTTTATACTACTACATGTTTTTGCCTGCATGTTTGAGTTGATTATTGGTAGTATACAGTGCACAATCAATACCAATCAGTATCAGTATTATTTTCTAGTTAATAATTTTCTGGTCAAAGTTTGGGAACTATTGGTCAGTTTGAAGAAACTAACTTGGGCTCTGACAGGATATAAATAGAGTTGTTCCAATTCTGCCTAAAATGTGTTAACGGATATTTGTAAGTACTCATGTCTGTGTACCAATCCGATACCACATAATTTATTGGCCCCGAAACCAGACCCTGCTAGTGGTGTTTGTTTGCTATTTTTTTCCCCAGACATAATTTGCACAATAAGAATAAACAGGTCATCTTGAACGTCTCAGTATCCTTCGGACAGTGGTTTTTATAGCTGTTCTGAACAGTCAAACTTGTGAGGGCAAGCGGTGAACAGTACAAATGCGGTGCACAACGGCATTCATGTTATTCAATTCAATTAAATTCAATTCAATTCAATTAATTTGTATAGCGCCAATTCATAACAGAAGTTATCTCAGGACACTTTTCAAATAGAGCAGGTCTAGACCGAACTCCTTATAACATTATTTACAGAGACCCAACAGTACCACCATGAGCAAGCACTTGGTGACGGGGGCAAGGAAAAAACTGCCTTTTAAGAGGCAGAAACTAGGAACCCTTCGGCTCTAGGTGGGTGATGTATGATAAAATAGAGATTCAAGGTGGGTTCAGCATTTTAACAAATGCTAAATACTGTAATTGTTATGAGATAACGGTTTAGGTTAGAAAGAAAACTATTTGCTGACAGTATGAAGCCTTATGATTTGACTTGCCCTAATGGACTTGAGACTTGACTTGGGATTTGTGAAAACAGACATGATACATGACTTGAACTTGCCCCTCAGCTGTGGCATTAACCCAAACATGTCATTTCTGTATTTTTTTATGCAACACAATACAATTGGTGCAGTAGCAGAAAATGGACATTCAGATTTGGTGTGAATGCAGTCTTGGTGAGAGAGACACAATTTAATTTCAATTCAAGTCAATTTTATTTG